GTGTGTTTGTGTTTTGAAAAGTCATTTAAAAGCAGTAATATTATCTAGAGAAGAAGATAAAGTAATGCAGAAAAACAACTAAACAATTAGAAAAGATAGAACACTATTCTGATACCACTTGTTGGTCCCGTTAGGGTTTACAAGATGTGTATAACAGTTTGTAGAAGGGGGGTATGAATACAAACACATTATTTTCAAATTTAAAATATATATTGATAAAAGAAGATCAATACAGATTTTACAAGACTGTTTGCGGAAAGATAAGGTAAGAAAAACCTATCTAAATAATCTTAAGTTTACACACTTAATCATAGCAAATAAGAAAAGATTTTTTGTTTAAGAATTAGAAGAGTGAGTTCTTTTACTTAAGCGCAAGAAAGCTTAGAGTAAGGTTTAGGTTTAGAGTATATCTCTGCATGGAGATAGAATATATCTATTTATACCCATTGCATTAAATACACATTTAATGCAATATGGTAGGGATAGAACGTGTGTCAAGCCTTAAGAAGAAAGTTTGTCCTTTGCTACAGTGAATAGTCCAAAAGCCTATTCATGATCAGACATCCTTTCACAAAGTTGATGGGTAATAGAGTCAACTAGTCGGCTCCGTACCATACTAACGTTTAGAAAGGGTATGGTTTTGTCCTTTGTGTGTATAAGGACAAGACAACAACAATCGGTCTTAGCAAGCTTCATTTGATCGCTGAATGCTGGAATAACCTGAAGGTCTCTTCAGCATTCGCTGATGCTTGGGCAGTCTTCACACATATGTAGACAGCTTGTAATCACTGAATACCGCTTCAGATCAGGTACTCGTCAGTCTCTAATCTTCAGTTTCAGTCTTCGACATTTGCTGAAGGTTCTTTGGTGTGAGTGTTGTCTTCTTGAAGTATCGTTGTTGCTGATTGGATTTACAATACAAGTTTCTTCAGCGATCACTGAACAGACTCAGTGCAGATCGCTGGAACTGAAAAGACAGAAACAAAAATACTTCGTATAGAATAAAAGGGATTATCATCAAATCACTGAGAGAGATGATCAACAGCTTCCGATGACAAAGCAACAAGACGTGATAGGTTGAGTCCAAGATAAAGGTATTTGCTGATAAGTTCTCTCGAGCTGCTTAATGAAAAATTGCAATATCGGAATGCAATGAAAAATTGCAAAATGTTTCATTAACGGTTATTGAATTAGTATTGGACTATTAATAATTTTTAATCAAAATAATTTTAACATAAGAAAAATCCTAATAAATGATGAAACATATAAAGAATGAAACTTTTTTAAAAATTTAATTAAACATTTTGGAAACTGAATATTTTTTTAATTTAATGAACGTTTTTCATGCATAAACGTTTCGAAATATTAATAAATTAAATTCATCAGTGAAATTGTGTTCATGGTCACTACTGAACATGACATTCGTTTCATTACTCAAAGTACATATATTTTTTCAATGAAACGAACACAGATTTCATATTCTACTGCTTTTACAATTCATATTTTAATAAGTTAAATTTAATAAAATAATAAAAAATATTAATGGTAAAAAAATTATATTAAGAAAAATGATTTACTTCCTTCCATAAGAAACGTTTCCATTAATACATTTCCATAATTAACAGTAGTTATTAGGATATATATACCTAATTCATTGTTGGGGATTTGACAAATTTGCCCTTTTTTAATTAAAAATTAAAGTTTATTATTTTATTTCCTAATATAAACTTATTTAATATTAACCATTGATGGAAAAAATAGATGGATGAGATTGGTTTGTAAGGGTTTCACAAATGAGGGTGGTTTGCAATTGATCTCTCTCTTTCTCTCTCTCCATATATATATATATATATATATCGGAGCTGGTTCAAATGCTAACCAAGATAATCGTGTTAACTTTGTTAACCGATCTTGACCGTTAGTTTGAATAATAAATGGTTGTGATTTAATGATATTTAAAAATTAATTATTAAATTAATATTTTCAATTAACATATGTGAACAAAATATCAATGGGTATTTAGGTAAAATATAATCTATCTTTAATACACGAGTTGTCAGACATATGAATAACTTATATATATCTTCAAACCACATCAAACAAAAAAATATTAGACATATGAACAACATGTGAACCGTATGAACATATTCTGTATATTCATGAGCCAACTTTGCTGTATGTACATGAACACCTATGAACCAAGGCATTTAGGGTTGTGTGTTTTCATACGTGTTCACATGTTTTCACATGTTCTCTCTGTGTGTGTGTGTGTATGTATTTATATGAACATTTAGTGACTTGAATATACATGAACACTTATGAATCACGACATCTAAGGCTGTGTGATTTCTGATGTGTTCATATATCAAATGTGAGAACTGTCGATTAAAATAAATGTGAATTATAGAACATGAACACGTGTGAGACCCCAATGTCAATATTGCATCATGATCAATTGTGATATTTTCAAATTTGTAACTCCCAATTAATTATTTGGGAGTTACATAAAATGACAAATTACTTAAATACCCTTGTATTTATTACATGAGTTACATTTGAACCAAAGGAAAAGATGAAATATGATTGGTTGAGCTTGACTAACATAGTTAACAGAAAAAATTGGTTAGTATTTGAACCAAACTCTCTCTCTCTCTCTCTCTATATATATATATATATATACATATATATACACACACACAAACACTATAATAGTACCCACACAATGCAGCGAGATACATCTCTATTTTAATAGTTCGTTTTCTTTTGTCTTAGTTGGTTTTATGTGGTTTTGAGAATAACGATAATGTTTTTATTTTTGAATAAAATATAAAAATAAAGATATATCATAAAAAATTTAAAAATAATATTGATATTGACACCAAACTAACTATCTAAAATTTCTCCATTTTTGTGTATTTCTTTAATTCATTTTTTTATTTTTTATTTAATAACATAATTTTTTATAAAGATAATGATTAAGTATTTTGTTAGAACTCAATGATTATCCTAATTATATTTAAGATTTTATATATTTAAAATATGATGTGTATCATCTATTTAATTATGTTTATCTGCAGGTAGTTACACGAATTCAAACATGAAACTTTAATAAGTTGTACTTACGCACAATTACTTGTAATATTGAATTTTAAAGCAATATATATCAATAAACAATACTTCATACATTTTTAATGCTTTATAATATAGTATAGATATATATTGAATTTGGTTCATTTAACTCATTCACTTTGTAAAAGTATGTTAACTTAGCTTACAACGATAAAAAAATATATGATTTTATAAGCATGAGTGACACAATTGAAAGTTTACTTGTATTTTCTTAAAAGTAATCACTATATTTGTTAAAATATACTAAAAGGGTACTCGTGCAATGCAGCGAGATACATCTCGATTTTAATGTTTCATTTTATTTTGTTCCCTATTGATGTTTTAATATGTTTTTATGTGGTTTTGAAAAAAAAGATAATGTTTTTATTTTTGAATAAAATATAAATTTGAAGATATCTTAAAATTAAAAAAACATATCGATATTAATATTAAATAGTTATTTAAAAGTTCTTGTTTTATTATGTAATTTCTTTAATTCAACTTTTTTTATTATAATTTAATTTAGGTTTAATAAGGAAGTAATTTATTTTTGATTTAATAATATAATTTTTATAAAGATCATAATTAAATATTCTGTTAGAATACAATGATTATCCTAATTATATTTTAGATTTTTTATATTTAAAATAAAATGTTTATCCAATATTTGATTATATTTATCGGTAGTTAGTTACATGAATTCAAGTATGGAGCTTTGATAAGTTGTATTTATGCATTATTACTTGTAATCTTGAATTTTAAGTAATATGCATCAATAAACAGTACTTCATGTATAAAAAATGATTTTTAAGAGGTTCTGTCAAATACTTTATAATATAGTATAGATTAATAATACAATTTTTATAAAGATAATAATTAATTATTCTGTTAGAAAACAATGATTATCCTAATTATATTTTAGATTTTTTATATTTAAAATTAAATGTTTATTTAATATTTGATTATGTTTATCTGTAATTAGTTACACGAATTCAAATATGGAGTTTTAATAAGTTGTATTTATGCCTTATTACTTGTAATTTTGAATTTTAAGTAATATGCATCAATAAACAATATTTTATGCATAAAAAATGATTTTTAAGAGTTTTGTCAAATACATTATAATATAATATAGGCGTAGATATAAAAACTAAGGTATATCAGAATGAACGATTATAATAAATGCACATATAGGTTTCCAACAAACTAACTATTAACAACCATGTGATTTGACGAAATATTTTCGAATTTGAAACATTTAGAATCTTTTGGTGTATTTAATTTGTAGAATTTATAATGGTACATCTTGTTTGGTTTGTAGAACTTGAAATTAAATTCGTAAATTATGATTGTTTGATGAGATGTAGAAGTGATAGAGAGATTAAATAATTTTTAAATCAAATTCGAATTGTTGTTAAAGATATTTTTGAGCAACTTTTGATCCATCGAATAAAAATTGCCCTATGAACTTTAATTTCAATAGATATTTTGGAGCTATTTGATCTCTAGGGTAGTGTTTGGTACGTAGACATAATTGGATATGACTAAACAAGACAGGACATGACAGGACAAGAGGGTATGACTGTATATGACAGAACAAGAGGGTAGGACTGCACCAAACATGAGACAGTGGGTTTTGTCCCGTCCTGCCCTATGTACCAAACGCAGCCTAGAAAAACAAATTATTTTATCAACATTAATATCCCCAACACTAAAATAGGGGAATTATTTGTAGTTCCTGAAGCATGGGGATAGATTTTGTAAACATGGAAAGTATGAGGGTATTTTATATAACTTTACATCCCGCCTGCATAAATCTTTCAATCGCCGATTTTATTAATACGATCATCGTAACAAATCCCATCTATTTTCGCCATCATCTTACGTGAACGGTTCTCCCCTCCTGGAATCTTTTTGACTTTGAATTTTCTTATGCTCATTGTGATTAGGGGTTGATTTCCTCTTTTCACATGAATCTTGTTGATTTCCTCTGAAATCTGCTTCAATGGCGAGGGTTTGCGCAAAACGGGATGGCCGATTTCTTTCTCTTTTATATGTGTTCACCGTTATCGCGTTTTGCGCAAGAATCACGATTTCCGCGAGATCTGATCAGGAAACCAGGGAAAGATTTTACGGAACTTTAGTTAATTCGACGGCGCCGGAGTCCGGCGACGCTAGCATCGCCAAGATGTTCGATCGCGTTTTAGAGAAAGAATTCTCAGAGAATGAGTCCACGGATGGTAAATGAGTTCTTCGTCTTCTTATGTCACCTGATCTCCATTCTCCCCCTTTCTTTTCGTACTAAATGTTATTGTGTGATTAATATTTGAAGCTCTAACATGTTAATACAGTCCCTGAAGTGTCACGAGTTTCTTGTAATGCAGCCAGCTTTCATCAATTTGCACAACTTTACTAGCTATATCATGGTGGTTGAGGACTTTAACAACTGTTAATCTATACCAAAAAAAACTACAATTCGACCTTGGTTAAAACCTACTAATTCCGAAATGCAAACTGTATAGATCTGGTTACAATTTATATCGGCTTACAATTTGAAAATTAGACTATCTGGACTTGAATGTCTGGTTACATCTTCATTTTCGAACATGGTTATTTAAGAGTGAGGTAGGTCTTATATGTGGAGTGACTTGAGTTGTTGTCTGATGCTTCATGGAAAAGTAATTTAAAACACAGACAAAGTCAGGTACTTAGCTGATCTGAATCACCAACTGTCAGTGCTTGAAGTTGAGTTGGCACTGGGTTATTCCCAGTTAGTTGAGGCTCTATTTGCTTCTGTTGATTCCTGTTTTTGAAAGTTATAAATTTATAATGGCCATTGATACTGGAATACTGGATCTCAATCAGTGGTAGGAAGTCAGGTGATTGGGGGCACACCTAGGGGTATCAAAAGAATCCAAAGCCGAATAGCCCATACAAACCGAATGAGGTAAAACATAGTCAGATAAAATTAAAAAGCGTTCCAAAAGAAACGGTGGACATAAATATCAAAATCTTCCAAAAACACTAAATTGCCAAGAATTACGACACTAAAAGCAGTGAGTGAGTTTGCCTGAAGAAGGTTGGGGTAAATACCAGATTTAGGATTTGATAAAATTCACACTTCTTTTACATTTGGCTCGAGGGCATCAGGCATGTCCCTCTACCCTTGACGCGTGCATCCGCCCCTGATCTCATTCATTTGACACTCACTTCATTCTTTTCAACCAGCATTAGGTAAATGAATTTAAGCCCTGCTAATGTTGAAACAAATGAGTGATTCATTGTAAGCAGTCACAACTCTGATTGATGAGCTTAGGCACAAATACATGCAAGCATTCTTTCCGTGTGTTGTAAATTCACATTGTTCCATGGAAACTCTTAATATCACAGGATAAAAACATACAGATTTAAATGACTTGGAAAATGAACTTCACATTCAAAAGTCAAATTTGTATATAAGCACTAGGTCATTATATAAAAAAATGCCTATAAATCAATTGCATCCTTGAGCAGAGTGTGTTATTTATCCCTTCAGTCATTCTTTTCAACGTGGACTTTGCTATAGTTTCTTGCAAATCTGTGGGTTCTCCGATTTGGAACCTGAATGCTATGCTGTAAATTGCGGCACAATAGCGCCACTATTGCGGCGATAGCTCAGATAGCAGACATTAGCAAAATAACGGTGGTCAGATTGCGAGTAGCGCAATTATCGGTGCAATTTACCGCAATTTTGACCGCTATTTAGGGTCAATTGCGTTCGATATTAACGTTACTCTTTTTTGGGGGGGGGGGGGTTGGGCTTTATTTTCAGTCTCTGTTTTAGATAGTTGGGCTTTATTTTCGGTCTTTCTTTTTTTGGGCTTTATTTTTCTTAAGTTTAATCCATTAACCTAAATTGGAAGAACTAGGTTTCTCTATCAACAACCTGTTTTAGTCTTTAGACTATCTTTTCTTCTGGGCTCTGTTCGGCGATCTCATCTGCTTTAGACGACACGACCCACGAGTCTCAGGCTCTCAGCTTCTGTTTCCAGCTCCTATTTCCAGCTCCTGTTCCAGACTTCCAGCTTCTAGCTTCTGCTGAACCTATTGCTTGCGATTAGCTCGTTTATGAACACTTTTCCTATTTTGCATATGATATGTTTATGTAGGCATATCATATATAAGATATATAATATATAATATTAAGAAATATTATATGAACCACTATTTTTGGACCACAATACCACCGCTATTTTAAATATCGGTCCTGATCGCAATTTTGTATTTTCACCGCTATAACAGCATAGCCTGAACGTAGCATTGGCATATATGCAATTTCTTTGGTTTACGTTTAGATTTTAGACTAAGAAAAAGACAGATTAGAGGAGAAGAATGTACATGCTTGTTGTACAGTAGTGTCTAGATATTTCTTGCATGGCATGTTCGCATGATTAGATTCATGAACTTTTTGATACGTTCACGTATTTCCTAGTGATGCATTTTTTTCCCAATTGTCTTGGCCTATCGGTATTTTTTCCAAATCTAAATTTCATATTTCTCGCAAAGCAAGTATGTTTGTTTATTTGTTTTTACAATAGAGATGCTGTGTTTGCTTATTAGATCCTTAAAGTTATAGCATTTGTTGAGTTATGTATGAATTAGGTGCAGCCAGCTGGTATCAGAGTACAATAAATTTCACCTTGATATTTTTTTTGAAGTAGCTGAAATTATTCGTGATATACACAAATGATGCTTAAAGTACAAATGTTGAAAAAATACATTTTCCAGCAATTATTTTACTGGTAATCCGTTGCATGTATCATTGGTATTTAGAACTTGGCTTCTACATTATGCCACCACAAACTAATTGTTTAGCACTTTTCAGTCCCGTTGTTTTCTTCATCTCATTTGTTTTATGTTGTTTAGTCTCACACAATTCACCGCTCTTTATGCTGTTAGGTTCCACTCGAAGCAGTTTCAATAACAGCGTGGCTGATCAAGAGGTAAGAAATTTTCTGGAAGAAGTTCAAAGGTCATAACTAATTTCATTTGCATATATTATGGATAAGTTTGAAAAGTTTATAACTTGGAAACTCTTGTGGATATTACGCTTTTGATTTAAATTGTCATAGGTAGCTTCATAATATTTTGTGACTAGGGATGTGGTTGTCTGAGTTTTTGAAAGCTGCACTATAGCAACTGATTTTGGCAATAATGAATGTGCGAATGGGAAACCATATCCCTCAAACAATCTATTTTGGCAGCCACATAAGGAATAGAAGTTGAGCACGTGCTTGATGCCACTTATAGTGCATGGTGCTGTGCTTGCACATATTGAAATAGTTAATCTGGAAGGCTTTTGACATCTTGCTTGCCATTTAAAAGAATCCGCAAAGGAGGTTATTAACTTCTTGTTTGGTGTGCCAAGGTAATTTGTGTAGGACCTAAATTGGCATATAGTTCACCAAAAGAAAATTATCAATGTTCCTATACTGCACATAAGAAATATGAATTTTTGAAGCTGGACAATTAGTTAGCATATGGATTTCAACCTCTTAACATCATATCTCATCTATTACAGTTATATCATATATGTGACATTCTTCAGATGATGATTTGTAGGCTGTACTGGAGACTGTTGCTAAAATCACACATGAGAAGGCTAAGAATAATGACACTCAAGTGACGACGTAAGTATCTTAGCATGCTTATTGTGCATACACATTCAATAGCTAATTGAAATACAGCATTTAATAAAAGCTGAGAATAGCCCTCCATTTCACTGCCCAAATGCTGCTACAGTGTCATTTTTCGTTTGACTGTCATGCTTCCTTCTAATTGTGTGTTTGTATATGATTTAGATAACAACAGTAGTTCATTCCAAATTTTTTCTCTTGACAGCGAAGATGATGAAACGCAAACGCTTATAGACAAACAGGTGACCTGTGACTGTAGGACATGATAGTCCTTTACTGATGTTGGTCTAGACAGGAGCTATGCTTTAGCTTCACTTTCTCCCTTTTGCACCTGCTTATATGCTTTGTGTAATTGCAGGACAACGTGTTTGTAATATCAAACAAGAAATCTAAATATCCAATACTTCAAGTAGATGTAAGGTCAGATCTTTTGTATGTTCTGTTTCTAAATAAATTCTTTGAGTTGCATGTACGTATTGATATTGTTATTATAAAATAACTTGGGTTTTCATGGTTTTCATATCTATAGGCTGATTTCAGATTTGGTGGTGATCATTGTTTCTGCTGCTATTGGTGGAATTATCTGTTCCTGCTTGGGACAACCGGTTTGTACATCTGGGTTTTAAGTTTTCATGTTTGTAGTTTATCTTAAGGGTTCTTTCTTTGTGGACCAAATAATATTCCTTGACTTTCAAACTGAAGTTAATGTTACCTTATTCCATGCGGCTTCACTAGGTCATTGTTGGGTATCTTCTTGCGGGTTCACTGGTTGGACCTGGTGGCTTGAAGTTCGTAAGTGAGATGGTACAGGTATGTTGTCATGACTCGCTGGTATTTTAACTTTTCCTCTGGCGGAAAAGATGAACTTCTCTTATATTATCTAATATTGTGTTGCTTGGTAGTCAGTGGCTAGTTCTAGCCTAAGAGACACATTGGGTAGTGTGAACTTGATGCTAAAAAGTACACAACTGAGTTCAGCACCCCAACATTATCATAGAACTTTATCAGCATTTGGATATCTTTTAACCATTAAATTTCGTTCCCCTTTCCCTCATTAACTAAGACATGTATGTATGTGTTTGCTCCTCTCTCTCCCTCTCTTCCCACATACTTAACGGAAACACAACCGTAAGAGAATAAATTACGATATACATCTTGTATGTTATTGCCAGTAAACTACTGTAAGAGAATAAACTCCAGTATCTTCTTACGTCTTGTATGTTATGGGAGTTTATGCTCTTAAGTGAGATGGTATATTTGTTATCAGAAGTAAGATAAATTGGCTCAACTAGGTTTGGATATATAAATGACATAATTTGAGATAAGGATTTATTACTTGCTCATCTTGTTGAGAGTGTTTCTGATAGTTACTTCTTATTCGTGTGAAGGACAACCTTGTCAGGTGTATCCAAATTTTGTTCGATTGTTATTATTAAATGGGCAGGTCGACTGTTAGGCACTAGGACATGATCCATTTATTGAGTTTTTTTTTTTTTTTCAAACACTACAATATCTCTTGGACAAGCATTATTTCATGGCACCAAATTTGGTAGAGATGCCAAATAATGATTAATTTCATCTGGGGAGGTGTACTGTCATGAATATTTTATCCTCATATTATGTTTTACTTGAGCTTTTTGGGAGACAAAGGCTGGAAACATGCATGGGTGCAAGGTACACATGAGGTGTAAGGTTCCATAGGGTGTTCATTTGTGCATTGAATACATTAGGTAAACTAGGATCTTTGCTAATGACTAGTCATGTAAATACAATACCTGCAAGTGACATGTATTATATAATGCAGAATTTTATGACAGTATTCAAACCTGATTTTGTGGTGTTCTCTGCATGGCTAATGTAGTATCTTGTTGTGGTGGGGGAGGTTTTCCTTATCATGGATCTACAGTCTACACCAGTTGATTTAAAACCTCTATATATGAGAGTACAATGTATGAGGTTGAAGTGCTTCTAAGATCTAGATAGTAATTTTCCAGGTTTTATCTTTCCATCCATTTGTTGGTCTCCAAGGTGCATTGCTTTCATATCACAGCATGTGTAACTTGTATGCTTCCCTTATTATCTTCTAGATCTGTAATTCTGTGGCTCCTTGTTCATAACATACCAGTCATTTCGTAATAGTATGTCTAATTACCTTGTTCTTTCTCTCTATTATCATGACAGGTTGAGACATTTGCTCAGTTTGGGGTGGTGTTCCTTTTATTTGCTTTAGGGCTGGAGTTTTCTATGGCAAAGGTTTACTTTCAGCTTTTCAGATGCTTCCTCCAATAAGTTTTTCTAAAATTATATGCAAGGGTTATTTTCATCATGTTGTAAAGCTGTCATCATTTGTTTCTAATGCAGCTAAAAGCTGTGGGTCCTGTAGCTGTTCTTGGAGGTTTACTTCAAATAGTTATTCTTATGTTTTTGTGTGGAGCATTGGCCATGGTACTTCTAAAGTTGTAGTAAAAATTTACATAGTTATGTTACATGCATACAGAGCTTCACATTGCTACATGGTTTCAACTGAGTGAATGTTAATTGTTCTAACTCATTGATGGGTACAGTTATGTGGAGCTGAGCTGTCAGAGGGTGTTTTCGTGGGTTGCTTCTTGTCAATGTCATCAACGGCAGTGGTTTGTTACCTGATCAGTTCTAGCTCTTGCTACTGTTTTTGTCTGGTTAACTTCTGTTTTCTGACAGCCTGAAAATATTTTCTTTGCTTTTTTACTACACAGGTAGTGAAATTTTTGGTTGAGAAAAATAGCAATAATGCCCTTCATGGTCAAGTCACTATTGGGACACTGATTTTTCAGGTAATTAGTAGGCCACTAGGCCTACTTTTCCTGGTTGGAAACAAAGAAATGCATGTCCTAATTTTTTTTTTGTAAACCCTACTTGCCATACCTCATAAGCAAGCACCGGAAAAGACAACCTGTCCTCCCCTGGAATCGAACCCGGGTGGGCACGCCCAAGGCAAGGCATTTACGGAAGGAGGTGGCCACTAGGCCAAGGCCTAATGGTTTGCATGTCCTAATTCATTCTGTTGTCTATGGTTTTTTCCAGGATTGTGCTGTTGGCTTGCTATTTGCTTTGCTGCCAGTTCTGGGTGGCAACAGTGGGGCTTTGCAAGGGATGGTCTCAATGGGAAGAGTGTAAGTCTTTCACTTGGAGCTTTTTTATATCCTCTTTTTTATTGTTAATGTGCCTGCATAACCACCCTTTCACAATCTAGCTGAATTGTTTATCGGAATAGATATTCGACTTATCATTTTGTTTAATTAGGCACTTATACTATTTAAAAGAAATGGAATACAAATTTTATAAACATTAAAAAGAAAGGTAAAACACAATAGGAGCCACCAGGAATGGGGTGCCAACTATAACTCTGCTAAAATTAATCGAAACCTGACTATCGTATCCAATGGTGCTACTATTTATTTGCTATGTTAGCAGTCCATCTCTTAAAGGGACTTCCATTTTATAACTTAACTTCTTGTTGTTTAACTCAGGCTGATGACTTTGTCAACATATCTCTTTGCTGCATCACTTTTGACATGGTCATTCATGCCCCGATTCCTCAAGCTGATGGTGCGACTGTCATCTGAAGTAAGTTATGCCAATTATCGCTTCATTATCCCCTTCTCAACAAGCTTTAAAAGCTAGCTAGAAACATCTTTCACTAGAATGCTGCCTTCTTCAAATTGACCTATTGGGTTTAATTAATTAGTAGTAGTCAGTCGGTACCTGGTGGTTGGTTGGATTGTAGCTAATAGTACAAGTCCTAATACTTCTGATTCTGATAATGACATTGTGATCAAACCAGTTAAGTTGGTTACTTGGTGGATGATAATGATCTGTCTTATGCTCAGATGCTGATAAATTTTATTGGCTGCTAAAAATATTTGTTCCCCATGGTCCATAAAACTAAAAGAGGGAATATAATCTCCATGCTGTGCAAGTCCATATGCAAAGTGGTAAGACATAATTGGAGCTGCATTATGAGGCTTAAATAAAAACATTTTCTTTCACCAGTCATTTCTTGATTAATAATTGGAGAAGGGGAGAAATCTCTAAAGGTCATAACTTCATAAGCTACACATTTCAGACACAATAGCCTTACATATTTTAAAATTACAAGGGACATTTTCTTTGTGTTGAAAAATCATCTTTCAGTAGTTGAGATTTGATGTTTTGAATTATTAGTTTGAGGTTTCTGTTGTTTGGTGTTACTGCTACAACCCACAAACAACTGTCTTGGTTGCAATTAGTTGGTGGGCAGATGGTTGCTCTGTGAATTATGAAGGCTGGTCCCGGCCAACTAATATTTTGCAGAGGGGTTGTCTCTGGCCTTACATGAGGCTTTTTTAGGCTCCTTTACTTCATAATTTTATTGCAGCTCAGCTCATTTTCTATGTCTAAAGATATCTTAAAATTGGTAAATCAATACATTGGATTTGCATTATATTGCCTATGTATGCATGCAACAAAGTGTTTGATCTGTATACTCTAATAAACATTTCAGTGAAATTATCTTGTACCCTGCATGGTATATAGAAGTCAGTGCAACGTATTTATCATGCTACTGCATTTGCTGGTTGCTAGGACTCCTATCAAATTATAGTGGGAGTCTTCCAAATTGAATTTCCCTTCTTCCAAGAGCTGTGTAGCAGACGACTATTACCAAAAGGAAGTGCATGTGTTTCTGTTCCTATTACGACCAAAAACTTGTGAATTCATATTGAAAGTTAGCTAGTCTAGGAATTCAATTTATCAGCACATATTGCATCTTGATTACATATTTTTGCACTAGATTTGGCCATGCTGACCCAACTTGATGATACAGTGTGTGAATCTGTTGTATAATATTGGAACCAGCTTCCAATTGTCTTTTTTCTTTGTGGATCTTTGCCCAAACATTCTTTTATATTTTACTTTCAATTTAACCAACTTGCTACTTGTATGATTTTGTCTGACATTTTCTTCTTATTTCTGTTCATTCTTGTGCTTCAGACGAATGAACTTTACCAGCTAGCTGCGGTGGCCTTCTGCTTATTATCTGCTTGGGTAAGGTTAATATTAGCTTCATCTTTTTTTGTTTCTATTTGTGGTACTGGTACAGTCTTTTGCTACAGAAAAATACTTGTCCAGTGATATGTATCTTCTGCTCTTTACGTTCGTCACTGAAAATGCTGTGAGCCTCCTTTTATACTTGATATGATCTGGCTAAACTTGAATCTTTCATGTGATTTAGACCTTTTAATTAAGAATCTGATCAACCAAATTGCACTAATTTCTGGGCATTGCTTAAATAAATAGCATACAAACTCAGCCAGATGAATATTTTTTTTGGGTAAATCTTTAAAGCCCTTAAGTTGGAAACCTTTCCGAAACTGTGTTCCTATGTAGTTTGTTGATTTTTAAATAATTTTGGATCTAACCATTGCTTTTTCTGGAACCATAAAATATTAAGACTTGACTCTTTAATTCGAGTGCACATAGAGCCTGTGCAGTTTTGCCATTCTAATATTCAACTCTTAACCTTTCAGTGCAGTGATAAGTTGGGGCTAAGTCTTGAGTTGGGTTCTTTTGTGGCTGGTGTTATGATTTCTACTACAGATTTTGCACAACATACTTTAGATCAGGTATTTTAGCATGCAACGTTTGTACGAGTCCTCATGTTTTTTGGAACTTTTATATACACATGCATGTTTGTAGTTATAGGAGAATAAATTTTTTTAATAATGCAGAATGCAAGCCATTCTATCAATCGCCAACGGTTGTTGGTTTTGAGCTGTTTTTCTTCAAACAATTATCTTTCGTGTTGTTGCTGTGTGGAAAATATGTGATTGGATGAATGCTCTAATTATAACCTTTGTAGGTGGAGCCTATTCGCAACTTATTTGCTGCTCTTTTTCTATCTAGCATCGGAATGCTCATACATGTACATTTTTTGTGGACTCATGTGGATATACTACTAGCATCAGTTATTTTGGTTATAGTTGTTAAGACTACAGTTTCTGCACTCATCACCAAGGCCTTTGGATATGGTGTTAAGACATCATTTCTTGTAAGTTCTATCATTGCACCCGATTGAATTTGGACAAACCAAATATACAATTCTTCAAAATTTTCTTTTGTTATGTTCTGCAGGTTGGAATTATGCTTGCTCAAATCGGGGAGTTTGCTTTTGTTCTTTTAAGTCGTGCCTCAAATCTTCATCTCGTTGAGGTTCTTTCGCTTTCTCCTCATTTAAATTAAGTGATGCATGCTTCGTTTACTGTTTTTTTTCTAGCCTCGAGGAATATCTTTTTATAATAGAAGGCTTTTTGTTTTTGGTTTATAACCAACGTCCATATCCACATCCAAAAGTGTTTGCCATGCCTTTAACACTGTCACCTCTTTTCGAATTCTTCTTTGCCATTGCGGTCTGTGGAGAGTGATTATAGGACCGTTCTAATGTGTAAAACTGATCTCAACTTTATTTTGTGAGACTGAGATTAGTCAAATCAGCAAATATCCAATAATCTTAAAGATGAAGACGGCATGCATGGGGCATCTTCAAAGAAATCTCATATTCCTTCTGTCCCATAACCATAGTTAATTTTTGAATTACGATTGTTCCATAACTCATTAGAAATTGATGGGCATCACTACATTGGAGAGAAAAATTGACAAGTATGTTAAATGATGAAAAATATCACCCTTTATGATAGTCCGTCTATATGTGCTAAGTATTTTTTTTATTTCTTTTTTAGGGAAAGATGTACCTTCTTCTTCTTGGAACGACGGCTCTCAGTCTGGTATGCTTTTGTTACATTCGGTCCCAAAAAAGTGGAAAGATTTTGGTCTTCCCTATCTAATATTGAACTACTGCAGGTGACGACTCCTGTGCTTTTCAGATTGATACCTGCTGTGATGCACCTGGGAGTTTTGATGCATTGGTTTCCCTCAGAGGCCACCACGCAGCCTGAGGTCTCTCTCTCTCTCTCTCTCTCTCTCTCTCTCTCGCTTATGTGAGTATATATCTATATGTATATATATACACCAATACACACATGTTTGGAGCGTAGACATGCATATTACTGTTATCGGGAACACCTAACTGTTTTTTTATGCATACATCGCTCAGGATTTGGGATGTTAGCATTAGTGTAGACTGAAGGTTGATAGATCTAGTACCATGAATCCATCTGGAATTGAACAAAACCAGATTGACACCAAAAAATGGAAAATTTTAGAACCAAGAACCGGATTGAAGATGTTGAGCTTATGTTATTTTCATCTTTTAGAAGATCCTGCAAGAATAACCTAAGAAACATGCATGGTGGGTCTTTTTAAAAAGAAAAGAGAAATATGGTCTACCCTTTTCCGCTTGCCATTAGACCATCAACTATTTTATTTGAATGTTCCATAGATGCTATGCTAATATCTAGGAAGTTGTGAATTCAAATCCCTCCTTTCCCGTTGCCGATTGCAGTGGCAATTTGAATCAGAGAAGAGGGCGTTCTCTTCTGATATTGATTTCCATTGTCTGCTATGATTTGATATTGAAGAATTGAGTTTGTTCAACTGGCAGGAAAAAACGACTGTGATTGAAGTGCATAATACGAAAATGATGGAACAACGAAACAGAGTTTTATGAGTTGCAGCCCAGCCTACAAGAGTTGGGTATTTGTTTCTTTGTGTTACAGCCAACCACCCAATGGAATGGAATTGATGATACCTATCGGGAGTTACTAGCTATATATATATATATATATATATATGGCGGTTAACTTAGTTAGGAATATTGATGTACATATAGGGGGTGTGTAATATATGTTCACTTTGTAGGAAGGACACAAGTAAATGATATTGTAGAAAAAAGTGTTTGAAATTAGGTATCAAAAAGCCAATTTTGATCAGGTCTTCTCAGTTCAATTAATGCATTTCATGATGCCTGCCAGGTAAATTAATCCTACATGAAATTCGCATATAAATTAATCCCACCAAATCCTACACCGGATTTGGATTGGATTTTATTCTAATTATGTTGGTTGGTTTAAAGGAAAGTTTATAACGTTCTAGGATTTCAATAAAACCCCATAAACTTTGGATTTAAAAATCCCATGGATAGTTATATTTCACATAAGTTTATTAAAGATTTGTTTGTAATAATGTTTTAAAAACATTGGTTTTGTTATAATAGGGTAATATAATTATTTATAAATTGCCTCTAAAGTTTTGAATTCAATTCTATACCAAATCCTACAAGCCATAGATTCTAAATCCACCCATAATAATCCAAATCCCTAAGAATCATTCTGTTAAACCAAACCTCTGCTTAGGGTTTTAATTTTCTGTGGAGAAAGGGAAAGGGAAAGGGGAAATGAATGAAATCCCATAAAACTTTGTTAGTGGAGGTTGGCATAATCTTCGTGTACGTTAATATATATGTTATTCCATCTTAAAATATGTTAATTGTATGTAAATATGTTAACTTATGACAATCACTGCTAATAAAGTGGCTCCTACGAAAAAAAGGGAATTTTGCATGATCTCAATATATATTAACAAAGCCACAACACAAAGATATAACGAGCTTGTGTATGTACTCCAAATGAGCCCCTGTATTAACCAAATAAGTAGAAGGCTCGAAAGAAATGCTTTATCTCAACGATTACATGAAATGGTTACGATATTTATGTGTTAATTGTACAAACAAATGTTAATAACTCAATTGAAATGGTTCCAAAATTCCTTATGATATATATGTTGCCAAACAAAGACTACATACATACATACATATACGAATATATAGATTATGAGTATATATTGAGATTATGATCATATATCATATGCCGATATAAGTTAAAAGATCACATTAATTGATCACCAAACACATTAGAAAGGGACTTCAGTTGACATCTTGATAGGGAATATTGAGTTCTGACCTTCTTCATCACTAGCTCCACACAACTGTGTTTCACTACCTGAAACTGAAGAAAGTATTACATGCCAATCAGATAGGAAGAACATGAATGAATATATATATATATTCAAACGAGAACGGTAACTGACAACCATCACATGTGATAAACTAGTTATATACATATGGTGAACATGGACGGACGACCTTGGCCAGGGCCAAGTCGCTAGCACACTATTTCGTCTCCTTAAAATATCACATGTGATGAGTTCTTGCGTTTTTCGTAAAATGGTATTGTTCTCGTTTGAACCTCCATATATGTGTGTGTGTTTTGTGGAGGTTCAAACTCCTAACAATACACGTGAAAGGACTTCGTGTTCGAGCGACCTTGGCCCGCGACCTAGGTGCATCGAAGGTTGCCTATTTCTCTGATTCAGTATCACATGTGATTGACTATAATAAAAGAATGTTCTCTCGTATTTGTAAAATAAAGTTATTCTTTGAACCCTTCCTCCTTCCCACATACATATATATGATTGCGTTTTGATGAGAATAATAGTTATGGTGAGAACAAAATATCCATATACCTTCAACTATTTTTATTTACCTATTTTTATCATTGTGACCGGAATCTATATATATATTAAAGAAGAAACCACTATGTATGATGTGGCCTCTTCTAAAAGCTAGGAGCTTATTTATCTTTTTTCTCCTTTTTTTTGTTTTTAAAAATACTAATTAAGTTAAAGACTATTATGCCCCTACAAGCAAATTGTATATTTCATAATAGATGAGATCATTTGGTAATTTTGCATCCAACTAAGTTTAACCTCC